ACAAGTACATCAAAGAAAATGGTATAGTCTAATTAAACTGTTTATAATTAGGCACAGTTACTAATATTTTCTTGTAACTAGGAAACCTAAGAAATTGTTTACAAATAATGTTCCAAGAATATATCTCTCAGAAATGCTCAAGTTTTAATGTTTAACATAAACTTATCTTTTAAAAAGAGAAAAGTAAGCGGTCTTTATTTGAAAAATAAAGCAAAAACGATAAAACTAAACTGGTAAATGTATATATTCAATTATTCTAAAAAACCAAAAGCTGTGCGTATTGAAAATACGTCGTATATTTCAATTGCTCTGACAAGCCTAAAAAACAAAATAAAGGCTTAGGTGATTGTATAGACTATTAACTATGACAAGGCTTCATATCCGATGGTCACCACAACCTTACCGTGATAATATACTTAAGGAACTAGTTTGACTAGTTATGATTGCCATATTTTTTTAGTTTAGGCAGTTAAACTGAGTTTTTGATTTTATTAACCAGACGAAATACTTTTACAAAGAATCGGTCTCGATTCTCTCTTTTCTAATACATTTTTGCAACAGATTATTTCTGCGTTAAGATTCCATAATATATGTATAATGGAGTGATCACGAAGTCTTCATCCATTGATGATGAATGAAACCAAAATACTTTAAGCACTCCCAATACACTATCTGTCTACAGGTGCCGTTCCTCAGGCATCAAACATCCACGTGACCCAGGCAACGGAACGCAACATAATCAAAAAGGATCTCTGTCTGAAAAAGCGACATAAGCCACATTTACACAAGTTGCTTCAAGACAAATCCGTTCAACCATCGCATACCGCAAGTAGCTGTAGAATGAAATGGATATTTATGCTATTCCATACTAAAAAATATCGGTCCAATCGGCAGATGTGGTGTCTATGGATTTTTGTACGATCGGAGTGTTGAAATTTGCGTTGTAGAACCTTCGTCCTTGTACACTACATACCTTATTGAAAACTTGCAGAGAACATTTGCGTTTTTTTAACATGACAGTCTTATGACGGAACTTTTCGCAATGGAAACTACGCTGCAGAACCATTGTCAATATGAACGCTCGTCAGATAGAGCAAGATCGGATATGGCGATATATGTTGTAACGACGTAGTATGGCTCTAATAGTGTTTTAATGTAATGTACTTCACTTCTGTATAATTGGTAAAGTGTATAAGATTTTTATCCTAAAATATTGTCAGCTATACACCATTAGATGGTATAGCCAAGCGCTGTCAATTATTCAAGAAATCATTTTCAATATGAACGCTCGTCAGATAGAGCAAGATCGGATATGGCGATATATGTTGTAACGACGTAGTATGGCTCTAATAGTGTTTTAATGTAATGTACTTCACTTCTGTATAATTGGTAAAGTGTATAAGATTTTTATCCTAAAATATTGTCAGCTATACACCATTAGATGGTATAGCCAAGCGCTGTCAATTATTCAAGAAACCATTTTCAATGGAGACGACTACAAACAACTTCAGATAATTTTTTTTGTTTTTGTTGTTGTTGTTGTTTTTTAATTCTGCCCGCCGTTTCGGCTTACGCCTTTTTTAAGAGTCGTTGAACATCGAGTAGAATAAAAAGATGTATATATGAAGTTGTTTGCCATCTTCATTGAAAGTGGTTTCCATCCTTCAGTCTCCACTGAAATCTTTAAAAAATATTTCAAAATATTCAAGAAATCGTTCAGTTATGATATTTATTTAACAAAATTAACCAATTATTATACAGTCGTTTTACTTTGGTCAGCCTCCTCAGATTATCCTAATAATACGTGTGTTCTCTTTCGATCAATACTGTTAAAAGACTATGGGCATACACATCCTCAAAGAGCCTATCGAAGAAAGGGCCTTGAATAGCAAACACTCCTAGCCACCCATCATCCTGTCCTTTTGAAAGTTAGCTCTGATTTTATAGAGCTTATGCAATTACCTGAATATAACTTACATATAGGGAGACTACATGTGTGTTTGTGTTGTGACCCTAATAAACTAGCTAGTCAGTGTATAGATACTCCAGATTTGAAATAAAATTCTGAACACCAATTACAAAATAATTCATAACTAAAGTTCAAATTGCTCAGTTATTATTTTTCGTATAAAATGAGCTTTTAAACCATTTATTTATTTGGCAGTTTAATAATGAAACAAGATAGTTTCTTGATTCATACGTATTTTTCTATATATCGCTCCTGTAGAGTGTTTAGCTAAATGCTTATTAATAACGATATCTATACATGAACCCAGAGTGAATGAGAATTTGGTCTAACCCTGTACTTTTTCTATCAAACTTCCGTATACAAAGATAATGTTCGTTTGTTTTTGTTATTTTTAACTGGTTGTATTATTATCCTATAACTTGTTTCCATAAATTTATGCTTATAAGGCTACATACCTGTATTTCTTCTGTTAATGAACTACGAAGCAAGTAATTTTTTCTATAGTGTGTTGTTTTTTAAGTGAAAAAGAATTCTTACTTAATCTATGTAGTTGTGAGTATATCGTCAATTATACTATTATGAATACGACATTTCAGCCGCTGGTTTATCTCCTATTATCGAAATAAAATTTGTATTTGTAATGTCTTATGGATGAAGTAGTTAGTAATCAAGTAAATGAAACTTGTAATAGTAAGAAACTTTTATGTCAGGAGCAGCAGATCTAAATAGCTTTAGAAACTTTCATTTTAGTGTCTTGTTTGATTGAAAGGCAGAAGATCTTTGTGCTCATAAAAACAGTTCGTTTCATTTTGGATTCATCGTGGCTTCTATTGTTTCACTGTATATCCTATTTAACGGGGTGATCATTGTAAACATAGTAATTATTTGTTTCATTCTGGAGTAATCGCGGCTTTGCTCCTTTTGCTTCTCCTAAAGTGCTAGGAGGTGTTAGTAGAAATTTGATTCATTATGTATTCGGATAGCTTATTGTTATGCACAATTGGTGCTTTATAGAAATTACGATATTCATTAAAAACGTTATTGTTTTCTGGAAGAACTAAGAATATTAGTCTGTTTAACCTTGAGTCAATATTATCACTTACACAGACATTATTATTTGACTGACCTAGTAAGTAATGGCGGATATGAGAATAAGGAAAACCCCAATGTTAAATCAGGTTTTCTGGTAATAGGCAAACACTATATTTAGCTATGTCGAATATCGAGGAGCGCTGGTGGTGACATCTCTTAGAACTTTTCAGTAAATTGAAAAATGTTTGCAAAGTAGGAGAACCAGTGAAGAAAGGTTGGAGGTTAGTTCTAAGTTAAAGAAACACTTTTTTAAGTCTCAGTTTTTTTTATTCTGTATGATTTATATATTCCTCTAAAACTATACCTATACGAAGTAATAAAAAATATTTATGGTCGTACATAAAAGACAAATATTTTTAAAGTTTTGTACTCTGGGCTGATTCTTATAGGAACAATGCGGATAATTAAACAAACGAATATGTTTCTATCTATTATAGTTTGAGGAGCGTAAACTTTTTCCTGACAGCATAATATACAAATTTTAACGTAAGATCTCTTTCCCCATAAAGATTTGTTACAATTTAGCATTAGCCACATATACCTAGTTTTTGCTTGTTTATTGTGGGTATAAAGCTGTACGATGTGCCATCTGTGATCTGTCCACGGAGGGTATATAAGCCTAATTTTTAGTGTTATAAGGTCTCATAATTATTGTTGAGACACCGGATGGTCCATATATCTGGTTCATTAATCAAGATGTTAAAAGTTTACTAACCATATAGATGGTGAAAATAACTCTGAATATAAACTAAACTCGTATTCAAAAAACGAAATAGAAATTTTCAAAGTTTTCGTCTCAGAGTCATTTTCCTGCCTCTAAGGCAGAGAACGGTCACGCTTTTGCTGACAGAGTATTCAATAATCATTGAATAATCTCATGTGGTTCTTTGGTATTAGTAAACTTTCAGCTTTTCCTGGAATATTTGCTAGTATGTTAATTAGATTATCGTTCTAGGTATCCTAATACATATATCCGTACTTCGAAAAACCACGTTGTATGTGAAACAGCACAGCAGATGGGCTTAGGGTTTTCTGGATCAAATCACTGTCAGATCGTTTTTAAGACACTGACATAATCTCTCATAAATGATTCATAACACTCAGACTATCCTGAAGCCTGACTGGGAAAATACGAATGTGTTTTCACAGTAGCTATAGTAAAATATTGTATATATATATATATAATCAAAGGTTTTGTAGGCGGGCGCAAAACCCAAGACAGGACCAGTTTTTAATACCTCTTATTAATTTATAAAAATGTTTGCTAATGAGTCATAATCGAACAAGTTTCTTACAGGTAATAACATATTAATCCTTTGTCTTCCACTTTTCTGTTTTAGTTTTATTACTTGAAATGAAAAAACAACAACTTGCTCATGCTATCCTTATTAATGAATTTATACGACATCATAAAACAAAGTACACTGCTGAACTTTTTAACAAATGAGTTGCTTGTTCTAAAATCATTTAAAATTGTTTTCATTTGTAGTTTTTTAGTCAACCCTTAAAGGTAATGACACAATGTTTTAATGTACCGTCCGTATACCATGTGCATTATTCTATCGATATGTAGAATTTAATGTATTTAAATAAGGTTTCTTGAAAGACTTTGAAAAACTAAAATGATGAACATTCAAAATATCCATTGAATAATAGCTTGAGATTGAAACACTGAATACTTTTGAAAGTACAAAACAAAACAGTTTTTTTTAAAAACGACAAAATTCACGCATCTTCTGTTTATTTTATTGTACAAATAATGATTTTTTCTTGTATTTTTTAGATAGTTAATTAACCTAAGATCAAACAACATTCTAAACATCGTTTATTTGTTATTTTTTTCTCTTAGAGTGGATATTGTTTGCCCCTTGTCATCACAGATATAGCCCATTTTAACTTAACAAAGTATATTTACGTTGTATGTTATTTTGAATCCTAGGTAGAACAAGGACTAGGGACAAGTATAGAGTAGTTTACACTGACCAGCAACGGTTGGAACTCGAGAAAGAGTTCCATTACAATCGTTACATTTCCATCCGTCGGAAGACGGAATTGGCTGCTATGGTGGGCCTTTCCGAAAGACAAGTAAAGATCTGGTTCCAAAACCGACGAGCAAAAGAACGGAGAAATTTCAGGAAACAAGAGGAAATATTGCAAAAACAAATACATCCTAGAGAAGTACAAGAACAGTTTCAAGGATACGGTTCCAACACCTACTTTTCTCCCTCAGTTTTAACAGTGCAGGGATCCAAGACTTGTTTGTATGCTAATTAAGTAGTTTGATGTTTTTACCACAGATAAAAGATCATGATCTTTAATTTAATATATCTTAAATAGTTTTGTATCTCATTTATACAAATTGTGAATAAGAACTAACGTACAATGAAACAATATCATACATCACCATGTTGACCTAATTCGGACGTGTGATTCCTACACAGTTATAGGAAGCTCTCTGTTACTGCAATATCGACATTCAAGCTTATTAGTTTCGTGTGTTAATGGGAATACAAGTTCGTAAGACGAAATTTGAAACTAATCTGCTATTTTAGATTGCAACTAACACATGATGTTGATTTGGCCAATAAGTTTTTTGAAAAGAAAACGAATAGCAGATTCAATTATGTATTTTGGTATTTACGTAAGAAACCTTTTGATTTGTTTTACTTTATGTTTTTATCGTGACTTCAGTGTTTGCACTTGTAAGAAGTTTAAATTTTTTAAAAAGTTCCAAGTAAAATAAAAACAATAATAGGTTTAATTACTATGTGTAACAAAACAGTTAAGCAACAAGTGTTTTTAACGTCTATAATGTGAAATGAAAAGAACACAAGAAGCATGGGTAGTGAATCTAGCGTTAAAACTAATATTTTAGGGCTACATTGTAGGAAAATTATTTGATGGAACTGATATTTTTGCTTCATTAAAATAAGAAAGAAATCTTTTTTAAACCAAATAATTACCGTGACTAGCTCAGTTTCAAGCAGTTTCAGCCCTTATTATCTTCTCTAAGACGGTAATACTTAAATCACAGGTATGTAGATGATATTGTTAGCTTAGAAAATTGAACTGCGATAGTTGTTGTGTATAGACTGTCTTTTAATTCCTTTTATTAAAGATAATTTTTAAAAATGTCCAACTTACAATAAGTTACTTTGAAACCAAAACTTGATCACAAATACAACTCAACGGTGTTTGCATCATAAAATTCAATTCAAATACTTGTTAACAAAAAGAAGCAGTTCTTGACTACCTTTTGATACCAAATGTTATGAAAGAGTTTCTGTCAATCTTAACTTAAAACAGTTGGTTAGTTCTTATAAAATGTTTGATACAAGTTACATGTAAGTTCTAATGGAGCGCAAATGCATGATATATGATATATATATATATATTACAAGATGCTCTAAATCATCAAAATATCTCCTTTTTGTTTATTCAACGGAATAACTACACAAGGACCTAAAGGAATAGTTCAATATCTCGATGTCCCCCAGTGGCACAGCGGCATGTCTGCGGACTTACAACACTAGAATCCATGTTTCGATACCCGTGGTGGGCAGAGCCCATATAGCCCATTGTGTAACTTTGTGCTTAATTACAAACAAACAATCAATATCTCGATAATAAAATACGTGTAGTAAAAGCTTTACTTGTTACACATGTAAATCTCAAGACTTACGGTATTTTCAGGAGTGGGACAAATTACAAATTTCTGTATAAGGTACAGTACCTTGCCGAAACTGCTGAATTAAAATAATTTCGTTTTGACGTTCAAGTCATCTCTAAGTGCACGCACATTCAAGCCAGAGATGTTACGAAAAAATAACTTGACATTTCAGTAGCGAGACAAACTGAGATGATTAGTTGTCCACCTATATGCACACTATTTAATTACCTGTTACAAGTAACTGATTTTTGTAGGACATACATTACTTACAGCTTCATTAAACTTCAAGTTATTGAAAAAAAAAAGAACGATTTGCTTTACTTCTTGTCAGAATCGCAATTTCATCGCAAGAATTATTTTTAGTTATAATATTTAAAGGCCCAACCAATACTAAAATAAAAATAATTGAAACTTCAGAAAAATCCTATCCATATTCATTCCCTAACTTTATGACGTAAATTTTGCAATTACCAAACTTTTTTCTTCATTCTAATTAACTCTCTAATTCAAGTTTTAGGTAGGCAAGTAAAAGAAATGTAATTTATACATTTGTATCTAATTTGAAGTGTTTTTAGCAGCTAATATGTTAACAAAACTATGAATCGTATTACAAAACAAGTATCGTTTCCAAAGTTGTAGGGGATGGTATGATCTGATGGTTAGGGCGTTTAACTCGCAATCTGTGTCGTTGGTTTGAAATCGTCGCCGAACATATTTACCCTTTCAACCGTGAAGGCGTTAAATTTGACGGTCAACCCTAATATTCGTTGGTAAAGAGTAGACGGTGGTGTTGACTATATGCCTTACCTCTAGACTTTCACTACAAAATTAATGACGGCTAGGACAGATAGCGAACGAGTAGCTATGTGCAAAGTCAGTAAACAATATCACAGCTGTAAGACCGTATCAAATTTATATAAAATATGCCATTATATATCTAAATAAAAGAAAATGGAATAACAGCATAGTTGGTTCAATTTTTACTTTTTTTCTTTTTTTTGTATATAAATGTTCTTTAGTTTATATTTGTTTAAACCAAATCACGTTATTAAAATTTTTTCTAGTGTTCCTGGAGAATATATCCGAGCGTTGTCACAATTTTGATATATACATAACCATGAAAGAAACAACATTGAGACGATAACAGCTGTGTTCCAAATATTATTATTATTCCAATATAACCCTCGTTAGGTTGAAATGTTTTCATGTTAGTAAAAAATTAGAAAGTACGAATATACATCAAAATACAGAATTATTTGAAACTGATATACTTTTATTCAAAAGTTAAAGTATTGATTGGAGTATACAAGTATTAAGAGGTGGAATGATACCATAAAAACTAATATGGTTACATCCAATAAGAATGAGCAAAATATTTTTTGTAAACAAGTTAACTTTAAATGGGTTTTACTTATTTTCATTTTAATCTTAAGTATTTTCTCAAATTAGGGTTTCACCAACAGAAAAACGTTGCACGCGTTTCACAGAGTTGAAAAGTGCTTAATAAGTAATTACAAAAAATATAATAATAATAATAATACACAATTAGACTATTCGAAGTATTTATTATAATGTATCCTTATCACTTAGGTGCGTGTTGGCTGTTTTTGTACTTGGATGAAGGCGCAAAGGTTGGATGAACGTAATAAATTAGAATGAATCATATAAAAGTTAGGCGTTTTATAATTTGTAAAATAAGGAATACACACTACTTTATGCATAAACAAATGTTGTTAAATATCTATAAAATCCACGTGCTTGTATGTATGTTTCTATACTGTCAGTTATGCTTTATTTTGTATCTCATGAGATTTTGTGTTTAATATTTATAGCTGTATATTATTTTCTTCCGACAAATGTATAAATATCTTAGGTAAAAAGAATATGCTAGTTTCCTAAGTTTAGATTTCAGTCAACTTTAACACGCAATATTATGTTTCAAATGTATTATTTTCTTCAACACTCTTGCGTTATTATTTCAATTTGTGCTATGCAATATTCACAACAATAGTTAAATGCAGGTCTTTCTTCTGGTAATAAGAACAATCCATTCTTTTATATTTTTTCCGCAAGTACAGTAGTTACTTGTTAGTGCTCTATTGAATATAGAATATGACACTGCTAAAGAAAAAGTAAATATCCCTGAAACATATTTCTCTCAATCTTGGAGAAAATCAGAAAGAATGCTGGAGTGCATAAACCTACTTATAATGTATATTTTGGTATCACGTTACTACTGTGGCTTTTATAACCTATCATTATAACAACGCTTGACTTTTGCACTTAGTCTATGATAACCTATATTCCGCTTAAGTAGTGTCGAATACATTTTTTCCGAAGTAGGTGAAAAATAACCATGATATAGAAGAAGTAACTATTGCACTACTTTCATCTGAGACATAGTTAAACCAGATGATAACCAGTATGATGCCTCTATGTGTTAAGAATATAATCAAAACATTTTCAGATTTATAAATGAACACATAAAAATACCGTGGTTTTTTATTGATTTAATATAAAAAAATTAATCAACATTTATACAACAGTATTAATGTTAAAATATAATAATGGTAAACAAAACAATGCTATCATTGAAGGAGTTCAATGAAACAGTGATTAATAATTTCTAATAAATTAGTAAAGGATCCCTACAATGGGAAGCTTAAAAAGTAACGCTATAAATTGGGGCATGGGCCACCCCTTCCACTGTTTTGGGCCATATGTCTGATTCAAAAATACCCGACCCAAGCACGGTATTAAACAATACTTTCGTTGAGAGTCGGTTTCATGTAAATTTGTTACTGACCTTCTCGCTCAGTTGAACATTCATTTGCGGCATTAATAAGATTAAAAATATTAATAAGATAATTTCTGCTAACTCCAACTTTTTCTCCCATGCTGAATTACGTAAAATATAACCTACAATAAGAAAAACGTAGGTGTACGAGGTCATTTTTTTTCTATCTTAAAAAATAAATACGTAAACATTTCAAAAGCCAAACTGTACAAGTAAATGCGTTTGTTATAGACTATCAATAAACTTTCATAATACATAGTGTTGGCACTCCCTGGTACAAAATTAGTCACACATTTGCATCTGTATATAAAGAAATCGCTGTTTTAATTAACCAGTCTAACAATGCGGTTGTTCTCTATCTTCCGATATTTGTCTCCGTTTGAGGAAGTTGATGTTATCTAGTATTCTGACCATACAGGATGAATTTATTTAAGAATTTCAACGAACCTAGCAAAAGATAAAATGCTACCCTAATTGGTTAATTTCCTGTTTATAAAACAAAAAAATTACGTATACGCATAGCAACAACTGCCTAACAAATACCACCAGTTAGTAGGTTTTAATACAATTGTTTCGACTGTTATTTATATGGAAATATACACGTAAATCAATTAAATGTGGATTAAACTCGTGAAGATTACATGCATTAGATGTACTTAATTCTTCCAGTATGACACCAAGGGTAAAAAGAAAAGAAATAAAAAAACGTCTCTTTAATCATTTTGCTTTGTGCTGCTCATTGTTGTTCTTTTCTTTCGTCACTAAACTTCGTATTCAAGTACATACTCACTTTTAAATCATAAAGTAACTAATGGAGGCTTTACTCATCAGAAAGTCCTAAACTGCAATACAATCCTTTATCTCGACTAATTAATCTAAAGCTTTCTAAAATGTTCTTTACCCATGAAGCTTACAAAAACAGCATGAAAATACATTCCCTTTCATAATTTTCTAGATGTTAAACGTTAAAGCTATATATAAAATGTGGAATTTGTTTGTTTGATAGTTTAAAAGCAAAGCAGCAAATTGACCATCTGCGTTGTTACAACTAAAAGGATCAAACCTCGAATTTTAGAGTTTTAGCTATTGAAAGAAGATAGCAACTTGAAGGATTAATCTACAGTAGTTTATAGATCCTTTTTTTATAATTTTTAGAGTTAAAAAAATATTCTGCTCTAACATATTACATGTGATCTTTGATATCCAATATTTTTAAC